ATGCATCCTCTGAGCAAATGGGAATGGGAGATTTTTTGCTGAATTCTGCACTGGCTCGTTTAACTTAGGTGCTAAGAAAGCGATGAACAGGAAGAAAAAAAAAATTAACAAAGCCATCCATGAAAATCAGGAGACACTGAAGAGCTACCGTGCAGCCCCACTGCTGAAGGACCTGCCCAACGATCTCCAAGCACTAATGTTAAAACGATTGACCCAGTATTTTAAATATCTGCGAGTCAATAACTTAAGTTCTAGTTAGACCTTAACCTTGTCCCTTCACCCTTCACCCACTACCCAGCATCCATCCCCATACAACATATTATGGTGGGATTATTCTACCAGACTCTGGAAAATACAAGCCACAGAAAAGCAAAATGGAAAAAGGGAACCAATATAGTGGTGGGAACCGGGGGGGTGGGGTGGGGGGGGAGGGGGAGACCTGGATGAATAGTTTACAGGCTCTTACATTAATTTGCTAACCACATTGGAAAATACATAAAGTCTTTAGGTTCATGGTTCAATTTTTTAAAAAGAAAAAAAAACATCAAATTGTTGAAAAAAATCCTAAAGTGTTTAAATGTAGCTTATGAATGGGAAGAGTGTTTCTGAACTTGAAATGGATTTATCTCTTTTATTCAGATGGTCTTGATTTTCATTAGGCCACACAAAACCAAATTAGAATTTCATGTATTTCTAAATACATGGCATTACTTTAAAAAAATAAACATAAAGAGCATTACCAGTAGAAAAGTTAGTTTAAGAAGATGTAAGGAAAACACACTTGGGAAAAATATTCCATTTTGAATGTAAATAATGCATTTATCTCATTATTATGTATATTAATGGTATCTTCAGTTGGGGACAGATACTCATGAATATACCCATTCATATTCTGCCAAGACATTGCAGAAGTCTTGCTATGTATCTTTTAAAAAAAGAAAAACCTTCTGTCTAGTTCTCTTTTTTTGTTGTTGTTGTTCTGTTGGATTTTTTTTATGACTGTGTTGATGTTTTATCCTTTATAATCTGATTTTTGAGTGACTTCATTGTTAATTTTCTAGTATGATAAAATAGGACAAGGAAAGTAAGTTGGTTGTATCTTTTATATTTACTTTTAAAGGAATCATTTTATCAACCTATTTCTAACTATTTCAAGAAAAGATTCTAGATGTCAAAACCTGCAGTTAACATTCTTGTTTAGAAATACACAAAATAATACTTTGACGTTGGCAACTCAGATGTATTATTCGGCAAAACAGCAATTACTCATTGTTTTGCTCTTACATGTTAAGAACTATGCGACACTTGGTGACACAATAACAAAATTGCAAAGTCAATTATATTTAAAATAGACATCTTAATAAAACACACACAACTAACTCCTTTTACTTTCTGAACTGTTTTGTTTCCTTTCCCTGATTGTTTACACTCAAATACAATGAGACTGTTAACCCTAAGGATAACTGACTTACACACATTTAAAAAAAAAAAAAGAACTTTAAAAATGGAGAGAAGGATATAATAAAAAAGGGGTAGCATATTTCTGAGAGCACTACACTCCACCTACGGAGGGTGCTAGAATGTTCTCAAATACTTTTTTGGGGGGAAATCTCTGTTTATGATGTTTTCACAATGTCAATCACAGTAGCAACATTGAAAGAGTAGTAAGCCAAAATTTAAACAAAATTTGACAATTCAAAGAACTAGAGCAATAAGCCCAGTGGAGTGCATTTGTATTTAGTCAGAGAGGGTTTCAGGTAGAAGTAGGTGTTTGTTTTATTCTGTTTTCCTTGCACAAGAAGCATTTTTGTTACTTGAACTTCCAAGTAATGAATTCTACTTCTCAACTCAGCCTGCAGCCTGAATGAAAGTACCCATCAGAAAATTAAAATGTTTGTCTAGATAAAATAACTTCCTTAATGAACTCTCTTATTTCTTTTCCCTTCTTTTGCTATTTTCTGTAATGTAGCCCCTCGCAATGATATTAGTTCTACTGTGGGAAAATATTATAATTGAGATCTGGTAAGTTATTTGCAGACTTCAAGTTTTTCTTTACACTGTGCTGACATTTAGTACAGCCCTGGTGAGGAAAACAATACTACCATTCATAGCTCTAGACGTAGATTTCAATCGACTTAAGCGGGCACAATGAAACTTGGTCATTCACTGGTTACCCATATTGTGTTCTCAAATTTTCTCTCAGCAAAAGTATAATGACTCAGTATTGTATGGTTGCATAGACAAGGGCTCGGAACAAGAGACACTAGTTTTGTCTGACGGTGTGAGAAAGTCGTGAAGGGATCTTTTCTTCCAGATGGTGTTAAATTCAGCTGCCTTTTTAACATTGGCCTTGCACAGCAATCTGCTGCTCCCCTCGCACAAAGACAGTGCTTGGTTCCCACTAGTTAACATGCATACTCACGCAACCTGCAACTTCACTCCAACTGTTTTACAATGCACTGGGATGCTAAATAAACTTGATCCATTTTCTGCCAATGTTAAAACTAGCTTTCAAAGAACTGCCTAATTGATATTTACACTTCTTCTGATTTAAATGTACATGCCTTGGGAATATTTCAGATCTCTAGAAATATCACCTTATTATCAGGTCATTGTGGAGATTATCTCAGACACTTTTCAGACCCATGCTTAGATACCTCCTTCAACATACACAAATAAAACAAAATGTCAGAAGTTGGATGTGTAATAGAAAAAAAAAGAAAATCTGGGACATGTTGCAGCAGGAGCAGTGGAACAGCAAAAAATAAAATGAAAATAACATTGAAATGTATTTTTATTGATCGATAAGTTATGTAACATTAGTATGATACAAAGCAAGTTTGATATGACAATGGCAAACACATAATTTTAATATTGTTTATTTTCCTTAGGTGTTATATTTAACATATTTACATAAAAGACCAAGATGTAGGCAAAAGCTTCAGTAATTTGACTCCATTGAGTGCTTTCAGTAAACAATAGGTTTCCCCAGCAAACATCTTATTGCCTTAATTGAACCTCCTTGAGAAAGAAAACCACACACTTTGTAATGTAAATGTTAATTGTAGTAGACAATGGTTCTAGGTAAATAGCACCCCTGGACATGAAGTAAATGAAAGGAATACAGGCACTTAACAATGAAAGGTTGTTTGCACAAACAGTGCTTCAAATGTAAATAAACAAGGGTCTTCTTAACGTTCACTACCCCAGTAAAACTTTGGCACGTGTTCAGCAGTTTCTAAATGAAAGTAACAGTGGTTTCACAGACTTTCCAGTCTGAGGCCTTATAAGGAGTTAAAGCTACTGTTTTTTGAAGAAAACGTATATTTTGGGGGGGGATGTTTATAATCTAGGCCACATGTAAGATAACAAGCCTTTTGAGACATTTTCTTATTGCAGTGGTTGTCTTTATGTGTAATGCCTGTACAAATATTGGCTGGATGACATGTGGCAAAATGCTTACAAGGACTTTGAGGAAAAGACTGTAATGGAGATCTTCAAAACTACAAAGTATATATGCTATGCATAGTTATTTTTAGCTTCATTTTTTAAAATGACTGCTTAAAATACATCTAAATGTGACGGTTCCAAAACAACCTTTTATCACTTTGTTATCGCAGTCAACTTTCTTTAAGTTGTGTGGTTTTATTGCAGTGTGTATCTGTTTGCATAAGCAGACCAAGTTCCTTTAGATTATAACCCAGACAAAACAAAAGCTAAAAGGTGGTCACAAAACCCTATGTACTGACATTTCTCAAGAGATGCAAATGGCGATGGGACACACTTGAAATTGATTTCTATTAGTTTTCCTTAAATATTGAAAATCTCGACTGAAGAAAAAAGCCAAACTTAATAGTGGCAAAATTAAACCGTGGTTACAAAATGAACAGAAACAGACAGTATGCAGCAGCTACAGACCAGTTGGTGTTGCCATTTGGGAGGCTGCAGATGGCTGTGGGTGGGAAATGCCTTTACTTTCTTAAGGATGGAGATGAGTATGGTGTGTGCACTTGATGTTTTTTTCATACGCCTACCCCCCAACAGGGCTGTCTGTCATAGGCTGCCGGCCCCGCTTTACCACTTGCCCCCGAGCGTGGGAATCGGAGCGTCCTGCCGTTCACATCTCCTGCATTCCGTTTAGCGGAATCAATTAGGCAGGACAGACCCTCAGATTCCCCACCCCCTTTCCATTTTTGTCAGGTCTATATACGTCCTAATTATTTCAGTTTGGGATGCCAGAGCTGTTTCCTGGATAGACCTGATCATCCTTAAAAAAAAAAAAAAAGAGGAGGCGCACACGTGGGTTGTGGCGTTAATGTCACTTTCATTTCCAATGCTAGGCACAGAGTAAGACAGAACATTTTTTTTTAACACTTTGACAAGAGGGGAGGCGATCTCGTCTCCATCATGTCTTTCTGCTTCAGTAGCTTCCTCAAGGAAACCCTCTTGGAACAGAAAAGCATCTGTCCTTGGATTTTCAATAGAAGAATTAAAAAAAAAATCAGCCTGTTTTTAGTGTTTTTTTTTGCACTTATTCTGCTAGCTCTAAGTCCTCCAAAATAAACTTTTCTGGAAGTCTAATTTCATAGATTTTGATAAACAGCACAAATACATTTAAAGTAGGCTTGGAGTCGTCTTCAAATTTGGGGGGAGGGGCCTCAGAAGGGAACTACCCAAGTCAACATAATTATGGAATCATTTTTAAACAAGGCATCAGACATCTCTACAACAGCTTTCTAAGAAAAAAAACCCTCCATATATAAACTTTTGTCTAAAAACAGAACTATTACATGCATGTTTACTCATTAATACTGTACAATGCTCTGCAGCTGTAAGAACACCCCCCCACACTCTAGCACTGTTATATGTCATCATACATGGCTTACATCCCTCCCTCCCCTTTAACCAATCATAAGGGAAAAACAAAAACAAAAACAAAGTTAGATTCAATAAGTATTCCTGACCTTTCTGGTTTTTACTGTCTCTTGGTTGTAGTCTCATTCTCCCATGCTCCCCGGCGATCTTGAAGGAGTTTTTACTTTCGGTTATCTAGCTTTATGAAGACCAATACACTCATACAGCTAGATAACCAAAGATAACAACTCACTTCCCTCTCACGCCTCTGTCTTCCTCTTGTCAGACTCCAGATCCTGATCCTTTCTGGCAGTACCGAAGAGTAGTCCGCCAGGATACTTGCTGCGCTTACGATTCTTCTTTTTATGAAAATATGACCTGGTTTCTGTTTGTGTGTGTGCGGCTAAATCATCCAAATGAGAGCTGTTGCCTTCTGAGTTTATTCCAAACTTTTTTTTTCCCCTTCCAGCAAGTAATCTCCGGGAGTGTTAGCCAACAATTCATCTATTAATATCAGAAAATAAAACCAGCTATTAAGGTGCAGCAAGCTGTTAGCAGTGGGCAGCAGCATCCATCCCTTCACAGGCCTCTATTTGCATTGTAAATTGCTTCATTCTCACGCAAGACTCTTTAGCCTTCCTCTATAGAGATGTATAAAGCCAATGGCAATTTCCAGCGCTGGTTAAGGAGGAAGGGGGGAAAATCCCATTCTATAGAAGTGACAGCTGATTCAAGGATCTGCTCCCGATCCTTTTGGGTTAGGCAGCAGGAGCTTTTTACCAAGTGATGGCAGCTTGGTTGCACATATCTTGTATGTGAGTGATTTAGGGGGAAAATCCTCGATTTCACAGGGCTTCTAGGCTGGGGAAGCGAAGATGCCTTCTTGCTGGAGTGCTGCTGCCCCCGGTCTGAAAGAAGGAGAAAAGGGCCATCATTGGAGGGGCATTCACTGCCAAACTGTGGACCAGCCCGGCAAGGTCAAAGGTCTGAGACCGCTGGAGACCAAAGTAATGATGATGTCATAAGAAATCTCAAGTACATGGTTATTGATATGCATCAATGATCAGCCAAATGCCCCACGCCTGCAGCCCGAATAGCTGTGGCGATAGCAGAGCCGGAGCAGGAGCGGCGGCAGCAACAGCACTGCAACAAGCCCTATTTTCTCAATCAACGTTTCTTCCGCTAGCACTACCAACTGCTCCTGGAAAAGCAACCCACGGCCTTTTACCTCCTTGGTGCTAGTGTAGATCGCTCTAATATCCAAAGACTGGAAGAAATCTCTCTCTAAGGACAGATAAAAGCATTTCAGGTCTGAGCAACGTCTTTGCCTGCATTTCTCTTCTGGCAGATTGCATAGGCAGCCAGATGGAAGGCACTCTGCTATTGCTTAAAGCAGGGCCTTGCTTTCTGGGGCTAGGAATCAGATCTATATTACGCATTGAGTCGATGTGTGATTACATTGACAATTTGCCCTCGTGTTGTATTTTTAATGGTTTCAGAGCTCAGTCATATTTTGTATCTATGTACCTTGGCGATAAGGCAGCATATTTTGTTCTGTGAGTTCAAACTCAATGTGCTAAGCAGGTGGACTTCATCCTTTAAAAGAAAATGACTGAATGCATAGGATGTGTATAATAGAATGCAGCACAGGTAAACACTGCAGCAATAGTTTCTAATATGATACACAACTCTATTGTAGTAAAATTGCTGAGCCTTTGTCTATTGTTTTAAACATCAATTTTCATGTAGAATGACCACAGACACTAGCCGTGCTTATGACACTGTGAAAAACATAGAGTTACCTCCTGAAAAGTATTGACTAAATACACCTGTATTGTTAAAAGCAGGAGTCTCCCTCTGCCTTCTTTTTTCCCCACCCCCTCTTCCTTCTGTCTAGAGGGGAATGTTGTTTTATTAATTAATTAGCCTCACTGATTTACTTAGAAGTTTTCTAAGTGTGAATGTGATCACTTCAAAGAGTACTTTCCTTTGCTCTCCTTTGTAATGGGTGATCTATGTCTAGCACATCTGTAAAAGGTATAGTTCTAACTCTCAGATAGGCCTTACCAAAATATGTGAAGTAGTTTCCATAGAGGCATACCCATAAGTGAACCTTATGGACTATTTTTTAAAAGACAAGTTATGTTTGATGGTGTTACTATTTATTAAAAGATATGATATGAAAATGTAATAGATCTTAATATTTATCACTAATTTATCCTAACACTCCCATTTTGATAGGTTGACTATACTTCCCAATGACTTGAACACTGTCAGAATTATACTCTTTCACAACATATACTCTTTGATTGAGTCAGTAATTTGTTCATTTAAGATGTAAGTATGAACATGATTATCCAATCACATACAGAGCACATAGGGCAACATTACACATCTAAGACTGATAAGTAAAAAATACCAGGATTGCTAAGAGGGGGAAACCCATAAAGGAGTTTAAAATATCACATCAATTAAAGGTATAATTTTGTAACACAGATGTCAACTTTTCCTTAGATTTTAAATTTTCATTTAGTTTAGTGGTAAGCATTTGAGTTCTGATTATTTAGAAAAGTTGAGACTGAAGAAATTGCTCATCTATCTTTCTTATTAAATTATAGAGCAAGAGGGAAGATCAGAAATTTCTACATTAGGTAATATATAAAGTGCACATGAAGCTATAACCTAATTCAGAAAAACACTCATGGAACGCTGTTCCTTCTTGAACTATTTGGTCACAACATATACTACTGAATTAAAATTTAACACATCAGTGAGGCACATGCCACTTTTGACATTATGTAAAGCCCTAATGAGCTTTGAAGCCTTGGAAGATGGAAGAGCAAAGTGGCCTTGCTTTCCAAGACCTAGAAGTAAAGTCATTAGTGATCTGGCATGTATTACATAAAGAAAGCATTTGAGCCAATATATTCAATTCCTTAAGCCAAAGCTCAACATATTCCAGGTGTTTTTAGAATATCTGCACATATACCTAGTGAAGCACTAGGTAAAGTACAGAGATTTGCTACAGTAGAAGCTGTATATGCATTACCCCCAATGTTAGTGTGAATTTGCAAATTATTATGGCCAATTTCCATACTAAACAATTAAATTCAGTTTTAGAACCAAAGTACTTATCATGAGAACCAATACACTGAAGATTTGAATGCTTCTATCATTAGCAGTTATATGTGATATTGTCTTTAACTAGCATCTTCTAAGACAACATAGAGATAGAGATATGTGTACCTACATATTTGCTACAAGTAACATAGATTAATCATGGGATCCCTAATGAATGAAATGAGCCAAGACGAAAGTTATGGGTAGTCTTTTCATTAGCCATATAGCCAGTGAAATATTTTACCTCCCCATCATCTCTCAGGTATGATGCAATTTTTTAAAATACTGAGGCTCAGCACTGATCACCTAATTATTTCAAATAATGCCAAGGTTTACAGTGTATTTTATCACATATATATGACAATATTTTTCTGTAGTCTGAAGGGTAAGTTCAAACAACTATGCAGCTCTAAAGATTCCTAGCATGTCTGTTAAACATTAAGAGTGACTCTTAATGCCTACATTTTAAAAAATCAGTTTTGCTTTTAAAAAGATATGCAAAGCTGAGATTCATAATAACTTGTGAAATCTGCATGGCTTGCCTGATTATTCTATGATAAATTCCCACTAATAGCTAGTAGATTAGGATGTGATTGTCATGCTTGTTTTCTAATCTTTTTATAGGTCTCCAGATGGCAGAAACATGAAACATCCTGGTTTATTTGAGAATAAACAATCTCTACAGAAGTTATCAGTAAAAAGTTAGGATTTTTCCACATATTTGCATCAAAATTGTGCTATTCCACAGATTCAAACACACAGATTTGTCACCAATATTGAGAACACCTCTGCATCCTATTCACACTACAGCAGAGTATATAAAGACCTGGCTTATCAGCAAAACCTCTTTTTAAATATTTAGTGTGTATGACTCTGATGGATATAAAATGAAGTCCACTAGTACAGCTAAGACAACCATTTTCTTTATAAATGTCATTTAACAATGCCATTTGCATGGGTTAGGGAAAAAGTATTTTACTAGCTTACTTTCTATTAAAAATTGTTATTATTTTTCTGCATCCTTATTTTTATCCTCATAGGCAGTTGCAACTTATGTTTGCATTGTGCTCAATTTATAATATACAAAGACTCCATGCAAGGGAAAAATCCTGAATGTACAGAAACTTAGCTTTTTCCCAGAATTCTATCTGTTGCAGTAGGAATGAAGATATGTAATAGACAGCAGACCTGCCACTGGATAAATAATATGCTATTTTAATTTTGTACACGACTTTCATTTTATCAAATATAATTTTTTAAATTACCTTCTGTTGGTTGGATAGTCTATTCGTATTCATTTTATGTTTCTTTGTAGTCTCATCTGAAAAACAGTCAAGAAAACAAATGATCACAGTTTCTATATAATATAACCACATCTAGATATGGCTTCATTTAAGTGATTGCAATTACCATTATTCCTTAAAATGCCAAGAGATTCCACAAAACCCCAGCACAGTAAGCATACACTGGGTCTCAGCACCTACAGGGTTAAATATGGTAATTTGCATTTAAATGGAGACATGCATGATAATAGGGATGCAAAATATTCAGAATCTAGAGAGGCTTGGAAAATTAATTTTTTCTTTCTCCTTTTATTTTTATCTTGGAAAAAAAGAAGGACTTATAAAACATTAGGGATTTGAACCTTGTAACCTGTCATACAAAAGAGAAGTAAGAGCCCACTACCGAAGGATTTAAAGTCTGAAACAAAGTCTTATTTTCTAAATGTTTAAGAGACTGAATTTTCAGGCCTTTCAAACAATGGGAATCCCTGGATAAATGTCTAATCCATTAGAAAGATGCAAATAGTTTACTGTAAGGCCATAGCATGGTGAGATGTGCATTCATATCTATGGCTCCTGATTGGCTCTTTCCTCCAGTAAATCAATGAATAATGTAAAACCTGATTGCTGTAAAGTGGTGGATTTTTTTTATTCCCTTCCCCATCCCCCCCACATCTAATATTCAAGAATTCTTACACTTCTGAAAATAAGCTTCTTTTCTCTTATGATTTTTTATGCTTATTGTTTTTCTGTGTTTTTTTTAGACTGGTGAGGTGGGTGGGGCTTTGGGATTTGCAAAATGAAAGTACTGGTTCAATTATGCTCTCTACAGTGGCTCCATCCTGAGCCAGCGCCCTAATTACTAGTGCTAAGGTAGAGAAAGAGGGCGCTGGGCAGATGTGGGCACCAGCAGAGAGAAGAAATTGGATCTGACCCTACCATTCTGGGTCCAAGGCACCACGGTCGAGGCCGTGACTTGACAAGGCCTCCGGTCTAACTTCGGATCGATCTCACAGCTGCCGGGATCCCAGAAGATAGGGTCCCATTCAAGCACCTCCAGGAACATTTGCAGGGGAAAAAATCCCCCTTCACCCCCCACCCCAATCTGGAGGACCTAATGCAAATACATTGCTGGGTTTCCTACTTCCCCGAGTTTCTGCAGAAAATTCCAAACCACGGCGAGGAGATCTTGCCTTCTTACCTAGGGTTTGGGTTCTGAACACATCTCAAAAACCAGGTTCCGCTCCGTTATCAAAACCATCTGAAGCGGAACCAACCCAAGTCCCCGTCACTAACCACGAAGGCTGTGTCTTGGGGAAGCCGAAGTCGGGATAACCCTGTAAGGCAGCTTCTCGCCTGCCAGTATCCCAAAGGCAAAGCGAAAACTGAAGTGGAAATCCACCAGACAGAGTTCGCTACTGTTCTGAAGTTTTCCTCCAGGATCTATCAGCCCCTCGCGCGTGGCTCGCTTCGTGGCCAGGTAACTACAACTTTGAGGCTGTTCAAAGGAGGCCAAGTAGTCAAAACTCGAACGCAGAATTTAGGAACGCAAAAGGTAATTCCCTGTATTCAGATTTTTTGGATTTTAGTAGAGGAAATGTCCCACCACCAAACCACACGGAATTACATACGAAACTCTCTCTTCCTCTCTCTCTCCTCTCTCTCCTTCTCTCTCTCTCTCTCTCTCTCTCTCTCTCTCTCTCTCTCTCTCTAATTCCCTGGCACTTCTCTACGATTAGGGTCAAATCAGTGAATAATTAACAGTCGTGGTCCAGACAACTCATGAGATCAACAGGTTTGGCATCTGAGGCTTACAATCAATTAGTTGAAGCAAAGCCCCGGACTGGCTTTCGGAGCGGCCGGGCGGCCGGCAGCGGGCTCTGCGGGCACCGGCTGCGGGGCGAGGTGAACGTGACGCCCGGCCGCTGCGGGCCCGGCTGGTCCCCCGCTGCCCTTGCTGGTCCCCCGCTGCCTGCGGGCCTCCGAGGATACTCACTTGATCTTTCTGCGCCAGGCAGTATTGCCCCCCAAATCCAGCCGGACAGGAACCAAGGTGCCAGGCAGAAGACAAGATCCAGTCACAGAGAGGTCACAGCACACAAACAGGCTCCTTGAGGCATCTCAAAAAAGAAAGAAGAAGAAGAAAAAAAAGAAGAAATTCACATCATTCCTCTCCTTAGCACATTTAAAACTGCCGCTCAGTTCCACACGGTGATCCTTGCTTGATTGCATATGAAATAGTTTATACAGGATCTCCCCTTCTGGGGAAGAAAGCCGCAAAAGACCAAGGAGGTTAAAAAAAAAAAAGGCCAACTTTCCCCCCACACCAAGCACTTGCTCCCTAAGCCTCGGAGTGGAGAGTGAAGTGGTGTGTGCGAAGCTCGGCAAGTTTTTGGGGGGGTTGTCCAAGGTCTAGTCCAGCCCCCTCTGCCGAGGAGGACGTGCTCTGAAACTCAACCAATTTCCCCACTGCTTTTGTTACTGATGAACTGAAGCCCTATTGTTCATCCATTGCCACGGTCTTTTTCAGTCCCCACACTACGTCCTGCGTTGCCAGAGATAATGAATTTGCACCCAAACCTCTCAAAGTCCCCTCCTGACAGACGGAACAAATTAGAAATGTCTAGTCTGAAGGAGAGCAATTGCTACATTTTCCTATTGTAGGACGCAAACCACACATTTCTTAGGAAACTTCTTTTTCCCTTTCTACCTTTTATTTTCTTCTCCCTTCTTTTCCCTCCAACCCTACCCCCACCCCATCCCTGGGTTTATTAAGACACATTTTTTTTTAAAGAATCATATTGTCTTGTGTTCCCAGTTACCATTCGGTGTAACCTGGACCATTCTACCTTTCTTCTCCTCTCCTTTCTGTCAGAACTCCCTTCGCAATTTTATTTACAAACTTGGAGAATGACCTTTTGACTTGCGGACTTCTATTTTTTACTTAAAAAAATTCTAAAAGATCTTTTGGTGCAAGTCTCTTTTTTCTTTGTGTGTGTGTGTGTGTGTGTGTGTGTGTGTGTTTTCAATGTGTTTAGCTAAAGACAAGCAACACATTCTAAGGATGTTTATCCTTTAAATTCCAGTGCTATTGAAAAGATACCAGGAACGCACCATAGAGGTTAACTATTTGCGGAGAAAGAAAAAAGAGTGTGTGTGTGTTTGTGTGTGTGTGTGTGTTTCCAGGGAAAGGCGGAGATTTGGGTGGCTGGAGGTGGAAGTGTGCAAAGGGAAAGGTGGGGTAGTTCAGGCAAGGTGGGCTTCCTGCAACCCGATCGGGGAGGCTGTCCGGGTGTGCGCGCTGGGGGAGGGGAGGGGCGGAGAGGCGGTGCAGGAATCCGTCCCGCTGAGGGCTGTCTGCCCCCTCTGGGCCTGTTTGCGCGCCCCGGGCTGGACGCAGACTAGGCGCGGGTGTCTGCGCGCCCCGGCGTTTGTTCCGAGCGTGCGCGCGTGCGACTGGGGGCGATGGGAAGGGGGGGGGCGTGGAGAGCTGTAAAAATCCAGACAAGTGGCCCGTATGTAAATTCGGCCCAGGGGGAGCAGGGAGGCGGTAATGAGAGCCACGAGCGCGCGGCCCCGCCGGCGGCCCCCAGCTTTCCCGCCAAGTGCAGCCGGAGGACAGACAGCCATGCGTGTCCTTGGCGGGAGCCCTCCCCCCACCCCGTCCGCCGCGCGCGCCCGCCCCCCGCGCACACGCACACACTCCCCTCGCAGGCGTGGGCCCCAGTGACCACGAGCATGTCAGGAAAACAAAGCTGGGGCTGCGAGGTGGAACGAGAAAACGGGAGCCTTAGCGACCGAGGGCAAGTCTCGGGAAGCCGACACCGCGGCCTCTGGCGCCCCTTCCTTGCCTGCGGCGGCCTGCGCCCCCGGCTCCGAAAACAGCCGAGGACCAAAGGCTGTGTGGGGGAAGGTGGCAAGCCGCGGCGGGGGCGAGTGTGCACGCAGCGGGGCCAGCGGCCCCCGCTCGGCACGCGGGCACGCACGCGCGACGGCGCGGGGAGGAAGGAGGGGAGTCCCGAGGCCTCCTCCCGCGGCTCCCGGAGACAAACAGCAGGCCACAGCCAAGCAGGGCTGCGGCCACAGAATGGCCCGCGGCTAAAGTCCCCCTTTTTCCCCCAGACAATGCAATCTCAAGGACCTGGCTGATCCGGGGGAAGGCTCTTCGGGCCTCTCGCATCCAAGGGGTACCCGCGAACCCCATTCTAGGAGCTCTGTCCTAGATGGCTCCGCAGATAAGTCCCAGAGCTGACCAAGTAAAGAGTGATCTGTCACTCACGTCGCCTGTCTCGCTGCTTGCTCACCAGCCCCAGCGCCTCTCAGCACACACACACACACACACACACACACACACACACACACACACACACGGCACTCCCATCTCATTTTAAGAAAAGAAAGAAAGAAAAGCCCTAGCGGCTCCTGGCACTGCTGTTAATGAAGGCGACGCGCCTAATTACTTCGCCGGTAAATAGGTACCCGAACGGGAAGCCCTCACCAGTGGCCGAGCAATTTACCTCTCCCTACTGGGAACAAGTGTAGCTTAATCGTGTTTTAGGAGTGATTTGCTGCTGTCGGTGGCTTTCCCTTTCTTCTTCTGGTGAAGACATGTGGGGGAAAAAAATCGCAAAGGGGGGGGGGGAAGAAAGTGTTCCATTGTCAAGATCTTGGTTCGGAGGGTGCAAGCCCCTGGGGATCGTTGGGTTTGTTATCTGTTGTTTTCGTTTTCTGTGGTTTGGAGGTGTGCTTGGTGGGGCTGCAGGCACAAGGCCAGCGTCCGCGCGCGTGTGGCGGGCAGGCTGGCGAGGCGCGGGCCGAAAGCAGCGGCCGCTCCCATCACCACCACCACCCCCCCGCCCCCGGGGCTCACCACCACCACCCCCCCGCCCCCGGGGCTGGCACCAGTCCCCCCGGGCACCTCCGGCTTGGGCTCCGCCGCTGCTGCAGCCGCGCGCGCGCGTGGGCGGGCGGGCTCCGCCGGCTGCCGCTCCGTGTTTTCCCCCCATCCCGGCTTCACGTTCAAGGTTTAGCTGCGAGGTCACGTCCATTGACGTCAGCTCCCTGTCTCCCTCTACGTCCGGCTACATTTACATACATCAAGGAAATTAGGGCATTAAAAAAATATGCAAATCCTACGCGAAGAGGAGCGAGTGCATTCCTGGCGCGATCGCCTTTTATTGAAGCTTTTAATTAAAGGGGCCAGTTGGTGAGCCCCTGAAACAACCGCCAAAAACCCCCAAAAGAGAAAAATAAATGCTGTAGCCTTCGGGAACGGTTGTTTCGGCTCCTGTTCTGTGGGCGGCTGAGGACCGCCGGGTGTCCGGCTCCGAGAAGAACAGGTTAGAGGAGGCAGCTCCAGCCCATGCATAATCAGGGCTCCGCGGCGCCTCCATTCTTTTTCCTCCTCCTCCTCCTCCTCCTCCTCCTCCTCCTCCT